TTTAAGTCTGGCTCTGGGAACATTGAGCAATCTATGACTACCGGATCGAAGAGCTCGAGAAGGGATATGTGGAGATCGAAGCTCAGATAGATATGAGGGGGCTAAGTTGTTTAGGGACTTAAAAACAAAAACTAGGGTTTTGAACTCCACTCTAAACCGGACAGGCAGCCAATGCAATGATGCTAACGCAGGTGTAATGTGAATGGATTTACAGAGGCCCAATAAAAGTCTTGCTGATGCATTTTGAACCAACTGGAGATGGGCCAGGGAAGTAGTGTTCATTCCACAATAAACCTCCAAGAATTCTTGCTAAGTTGTCTCATTAAAATGTGTAATTTGTAGAACTTTTCTCTATGAACAAAATGTCCATTAGAGGTGTTTTTAATGTGGTTTTGCATGAGTACATTGAGTACTAGTTTACTTAAACCTCAGAGGCACAAATTGACATTTGATTATGATTGAAAATTCAGTAGTTCTTGAACAAAGGGAGGGTAGTCCTGACAGTGAGCCAGAAGGATTTTACATTACTGTGTGACTCATAACTCTGGTGGGAAGGATGGTATTCACTTCAAGAGCAGATTTCTGATATTTGCTACATGTTTGCTCCTGTCCCCACTGAAGCACAGTGTTGACAGCCATCAAAGTCTAACCGTGATGATATAAAAACATGAATTACTCTTTCAAAATCTTGAAAAGAGAGAAAAGATTTCATTTTGGAAAGAAGGCGGAGATGAAAAACACAGGATCTAACCACTGAGTTTACTTGTTTGTCTAGTTTCAGCTCATTATCAAGCAAAACGCTTGTTAACAAGAGTTTTGGCTTGAAATGTGACATGGTGATCATTAACAAACTTTGTGAGAATGCCACTAGGGGGACCAAAGAATATCATTTCCATTTTCTTTTTCGTTTAGATTACGAAAATTTGATGACATCCAGATTTTTATGTCGTCCATACACTCCATTAGAGGGCCCAGGGAGATGTTAACTGAGCGTTTAAGGGGCAAATAAATCTGGGTGTCATCGGCATAGCAATGAAAAGATACACCATGCTTTCGGAAAATAGAGCCCAATGGGAGCATATATAAAGAAAAAAGGGTAGGAGCTAGTATAGATCCCTGCGGGACCCCACATGGGAGATTGGCAGCTGATGACATGAGGTTGCCAAGGCAAACAGAGAATCTCCTGTCCTTCAAATAGGAACTAAACCAGCTTAAAACTGTTTCCGTCATGCCCATTTTTATTGAAATTAAACACTTCATTTAATATTTGTAGGACTATATTTTTATATTTATTGTTATATATGATTATTTCCCCTTTCAATTCGTGTATCGCTTTACCTAATTAACGTTCTGTATAAGGTTAATTATGCTAGTATTTGCTACCATATATTTAGCAAATACTGTAAACGCCTGACAGTTATGATTGTATTTATGCCCGTGTGTGATGATAAATGAGCGTGTTGTGTTTTCATTTACAAATAGTAGTTCTTGAACAAAGGGAGGGTTGTACTGACAGTGAGCCAGAAGGATTTTACATTACTGTGTGACTCATAACTCTGGTGGGAAGGATGGTATTCATGTCAAGAGCAGATTTCTGATATTTGCTACATGTTCGCTCCTGTCCCCACTGAAGCACAATGTTGACAGCCATCAAACCATCGCCCTGAAAGGGCCTTTTTTTTTGATCACATG